GAGGAGGGGATGATCCTGTAACACAACGTAACTTTTCTACAGCAGGAGGAGGGAGGGGATGATCCTGTAACACAACGTAACTTTTCTACAGCAGGAGGAGGGAGGGGATGATCCTGTAACACAACGTAACTTTTCTACAGCAGGAGGAGAATATTTGGAGGTTTTATTCTCTCTATACATGTTTTAAAACACTAGAATTTCTTCATTATATTTTGAACTCCTGCTCAGGTGTCTCTGCGCTCGCAGCCATGCTGACACAGTTGTGATGATGTAATGACGATAGGACGGTAGAGTATAAATTACTACCGTAGGTCAACTTTATACCGTTCACATATACCGCGCAGCCCTACCATAAGAGTAGCAGTATTGATTAAATCTTAACGATACTCATCCCTAGTCACAAAATTTGTGTAGTGACTGAAAGAACAGATACAGGAGGTCGAAATGAGTTTCCTCTACATTGTAACTGAACTCTCCTAGAGATGGGTGAGAAGTTCAGTTATCTTGGAGAAACTCAGAGTAGAGCCGCTGCTCCTCCACATCGAGAAGAGCCAGTTGAGGTGGTTTGGTAGGACATGTTCAAAAGAATGGGCCAACACAGAAAAAAAACCTCATTATCAGGCCAGCATTCTGCAGTCTACACTCAACTACAGGCCAGTGGTCACTCTTTCAGGAACGAAGATGTTTTTATCCTTAATAGAGAGAAATGTTGGTTTGAGAGAGGCGTAAAGGAAGCCATTTTTGTGAAGAAAACGTGTCATTTAACAGGGGTGGAGGCCTCCTCTTACAAAGCTGTTGTTGCAAGTATGACTCTGTGAAACATAGGTGTTAAGCAGGTCCATAACGATCATCAGGCCTATGGTCCTGATGATCCTCTACGAACAATTTGTTAAAGTGAGGGTTCTCTTATGCATGTGAACGAACTGTTTTAATTGTCATTTAACTTGTTTGTCCACCATGTGGAGACACTGCTCAGGCTGAGCTTACCTGTATAACACCTCAGACTCAAGAAGTCTCTTGAAGGAGAGACGAAACGTTACATTAAATAAGAAGCTGTCCAGAGGACCTACTTAACATTTTTTTACATGGAGTACAGAGATGCATCAGGTTATTTGGAAGTAATTCCAATTCAAGATGGTTGTAGGAGCCATTTATCCTTTCTGGTGTTTATTGCCACCAGGGGGCGTATTTGATTTTGAGTTCTGAGTGTCTGATGGGGGGATGGGTTATTTAAGGTCAACCATGATTCTGTTCAGGTGTTGTTAATAGGTAGAGGCAAATAGTTTTCTACTGTGCTTGGTTTTGGATGTATATCGAATTTATGTGGATCTTAAGGGAAACAGTAAGACAATGGACACTGTACTGAAAATAAATGACTTTATTTTATGTCAAACGGAATATCGGCATGCTGAATCTTAATTGAGCGCACGTAAAACCAATGCCTTTCAAGAACAACCACCAGTAGCCTAAAATATAGGATTTTAGCCGCTACAATGGTCACTGCAGTTAATCAAACTTAGCAAACACAAAAATGTCTAAAACAGAGATTCTTGACCTATGGGCCGTGAGCGCCAGCTTGAGGGCCTCAAAAGAACAACAGTTTTTAACTTTGGGCCACAGAGGGCCGTGGGACCACATTGATTTT